AAATCTTAGATCAAATATTTGGTTAACACTTTGAGTAATGGTTTGTGTGATTTTGAGAGTACAGTATATTCTTCAAACATGCCTTTCATCTAGTCAAGTTCACCAAATCCATGCCTTATATGCTTTTTGGTGGCCATTATTTCTGTTTCTTCTTCTTTCCACCCTTAGTTAAAAATGAAAGAAAGGAAAAAAGGAAAGCTGTTTCTTCCTTTCAATAGTGTCCAATTTAATCCTTTTGCTCCCTCTCATGGCCAAAAGTGATATTTCCCAAATGCAGACATAACTGGATAGCCACCACAAACAGCAAGATGAGGGGGCCTCAAATCAGCAGCCAATCCCAGCTTAGAAAAATTGGCAGATTTTGCTTTCTCACAAACTAGCAACAAAACAAAAGATAACTGGATAGCCACCACAAACAGCAAGATGAGGGGGCCTCAAATCAGCAGCCAATCCCAGCTTAGAAAAATTGGCAGATTTTGCTTTCTCACAAACTAGCAACAAAACAAAAGAGGGTTGAATGTGCAGCCAATCATAACTTGTGACAATCGCCAAACCAAAACTTTCCCACAGCTTAAGAGTAAATCTCTCTCAATTCCACAAAGAAAAAAAGAGAGGAAAAAAAACTTATATAAAATTCTTCCTTTTTAAAAGCACCAATCCCAGCTAGATAAAAGTAGTCTCCTAAAAGCGTAGAAAACGTCTTTAAAAACATTAAAACTTCCAGATTGCATGCTGTTACTGTATTTCAATCCTCCAAATCCAGTACAACACACTTTAAAAGTCCCAGAAAATAATGAAAGTCCAGCCAAGAAAAAAAGAGAGGAAAAAAAACTTATATAAAATTCTTCCTTTTTAAAAGCAAAAGTAAAATATAGATAAAAGTAGTCTCCTAAAAGCGTAGAAAACGTCTTTAAAAACATTAAAACTTCCAGATTGCATGCTGTTACTGTATTTCAATCCTTCAAATCCAGTACAACACACTTTAAAAGTCCCAGAAAATAATGAAAGTCCAGCCAAGAGAAGAAATATTTTTACAGTGGAGATAGCCTCTTTAAATTTTTTAAATAACTTACAACAAAAGTAATTTTAAAGGTGGTGTGGTCGGAATTAGTGTCTCTTTAAGAGGCTTTAAACACGGCACTGACAAGCTGATCCGTCCACTTTCCGGCTGATTGCTCACCGTTCATTCGTGACCCACTTTCAATTGATAAGCTATAGCTGTCCGGAAGACACGTGACGCGATTCGATAACTTCCCCTTGCCCAAAGAATGCTTCATGTCTCAGAAAAAATTCCCGAGACACGTTTAACGCTCCAGCTTCAGAAGAGCTTCAGCCGGAGGGACTTTCCACCATATTGTCCTCCACCGGAAGTCCACAGTGTGACTACTTGTTACCATCCACAGTCCTCCCACATCACTTCATTAATCCAGAAAATTCCTGCCCAAGTGGCTTTTGTGCATTACTTGATTTTAAATATCATAGTGGCATCCAAATTTGTAAGCATGTTAGTACTGTTCAACAGCACTCCTCAAAATTAGGTCAACCAGAAGTGTCACATTTCAATTCCCACAACAACATAGAGCCAGCCAGTAGTTTAGCTAGATAGGCATTATGAAGTCCAAAGCTTTTGAAATGTGCTGGGATTCCATAACTGGTAGTGTTAGTCACATCTGGCATCCTTGGGGAATTCAACTTGGTATTCCAGTGGCAAGAGGAAATTATTCAGAAAACAGTGACTATAACCATGGGATGGCCAGCTATTTCATTTCACAAGTTCTGTCCTGCAACTCACTATCCCCAGCTCAAAGTCCCATAAAATGAGTTGCTGATAAAAGTATCGTACATGCGCTGTCTTTTCTTTTTTTTTTTGTAAGCAGAAATTCTTTTTCAGATCTTCAGGGAACTGGATATTGAACTCCACCAAGAATGCACGTATGATCACTTAGAGGTTTACAATGGAAAAGATGCCAGATCTCCTGTTCTGGGACGATTCTGTGGATCTAAAGAACCGGATCCTATCATCTCTACTAGCAACAGGATGTTCCTCAGGTTCTTTTCAGACAACTCCATTCAAAAGAAAGGCTTTGAGGCAACATATACATCAGGTAACCTCAGTGCTAGTTCATTATTACATTTTGGCAGTCCTAAACCAAAGTAGTAGTGATAGAATAAATAGTATAAATAAAGTTGATAGATGCCTCCAATGTTCGCATCACGACAGCTCAAGCTGTTAGCAGATCAGGACTGTCACCCTTTGTCTTTCCCTATGATAAATACACATGTCTTTTGGGGAGCAACTTTGCGGTATTTTATACATTACATTTTAAGTAGATGTTAAAGATGTTGCATTCTTCACTTTCCCTTCATAATGTTAAGATAAATGAGATGTATTAATCTGACTAGCTTGAGCACATACTATGAGAACATAGGTAATTACAGAATGCCTTTTTTTTAAAAAAAAGGCAGATACAGGGATAGGGAAAGATTTCTTGTGGAAACCTTCACTGTCAGTCAGAGCAGAAAACAGCCAGGTTCCATTGCTTCTAGTAGTTTTTTCCCACTAAGAAAATCCTAGAACCTGTATTCCTGTAGCTAGCAAGACTCAGCTATTGCACTGCGTGCCCACCAGGAAGGGATCTTCTTCTTTCTTAGTGTGTAGGCTTCTGTCCCTGCCCGCTAACCCAGTTTAGGACTTACCAAGGTTTCTCATGTATGTATGTATATTTTGTTATTTCCAGAATGTGGGGGCCAGGTACGAGCGGAAGTGAAAACCAAGGATCTCTATTCCCATGCACAATTTGGAGACAACAACTATCCTGGGGGCTCAGACTGTGAGTGGGTGATTGTGGCTGAGGAAGGCTATGGGGTTGAACTCATCTTCCAAACATTTGAGATTGAGGAAGAGGCTGACTGTGGCTATGACTACATGGAGCTGTTTGATGGCTATGATGGAACAGCTCCGCGTCTGGGACGTTACTGTGGCTCTGGGGTAAGATATTTTATATCTCTCCCTATTCTTTTGCACAAAAAGCTTTACTGCATAAACATGGCACAAAAATATGATGGCAGAGTTCATCCTGGTCTTTGAAAAAATGGGTGCAGAATATATGAAAATATTAGGCCTTGGTATAATTCACTGTGATGAACTGGTAACACACCAACATCCCTTGGAGATTAGAATTATGTTTTCTGCAAAATTGTTGATAGTTTGCAGTGTTCTTTTAAAAATGTAGAATCTCACATGTAGCTTGGAGCATTGGTACCATGTGGTCTGAAAACAGAGGCAATATATTCAGATACTTCCATTGTTGTAGAATCCATTTCTGGAACAATGGAACATCTAGGTGTGTGTCTTTTGGCTAGTAGACAGAAGATGCCTGGATGCAATTTGTAAGGTCTTCTAGGTAGGTTTGGTCTTGTACTTCTTGAGGAAATTCTTTTAATGAGCTGTATAATTCCTTTTTTACCTTTTTTCTATGAAATCAGCCTATAAAATGGTGTTCTGGAGACTTAAAGCTCATCCTGTTGTAGGTGTGACCTGATTTGTTCATGACAACAGTATTTTGTTTCTTGGCTTTTTTGATGAGATCAGTGTTAATTTAAGGCTCTAGCTATTGCCTCATTCTGTACAAGTTGCAGGGAATGGGGCTATAAAGCAAAATTATCAGGGCTGTATGTCACACATGTGGCCTGTGGTGGGGATGTTCTGCTTTCTTGGGGATTGGTGGTCCGGAGGTTATTTTACTTAAGCCCATTTTTATTTTTACCTCCTGGTTACATGCATTTCTGGTCTCAACATGAAGGAAAGAATGCTGTCAGTTTTGAGCAATTATGGTACCAAATGTTGGAGATGTAATGAAGGAAGTCTGGAGATAGATAGATGGTAGGTTGGTTGGTTGGTTGGTTGGTTGGTTGGTTGGTTGGTTGGTTGGTTGGTTGACAGACAGACAGACAGACAGACAGACAGACAGACAGACAGATAATGTAAAGACTGTGTGTAGTCCTGGGACCACAAGTTTTCTCACCCATCACCTTAACATTTATCTCCATCTTCCCCTTTCTGCTAGCCTCCAGAAGAGGTCTACTCTGCTGGTGACTCCGTGATGGTAAGATTTCACTCAGATGACACCATCAACAAGAAGGGTTTCCATTTACGGTATACCAGCACCAAATTCCAGGACACGCTGCACACACGGAAGTGATCTCTCAGCCACCCAAACTCCTTCAAGTGCGAACAAGCCTTCCGTTACTTGAGAGACAGGTTTCCACTGTTTGCAAAAAAAAAAAAAAAGACATCTATGGAGAAAATTCACATAAACTGGAAGGAGAAATACACAGTACACCTCAGAGTGTGAAACACTCACACAAAAATAAAGGTGCTGTCAGTTGCTCATATGGACTAGGCTTGGGGAAGTGGGGGAATCCTTTCGTTTAAAAAAAGTACATCCATTTCTGTGCCTCCTTTCTTTCTTGAGCAGAACATCTCCAGGACTAACCACTTTGCAGCTTCTATCTGAGTTTTGTCTGTCTCCCCCAATCCTGATGGTTATGGTTTAAAATGAAGGCAGGCATTTTCCTTTACAAACCCCATAAAGCAAGTTTACCAGCAGAGATGTCTGAAAATGCAGAACCAAACGTAGTGGAGAGGCTACTGTGCTTGCGGAAGCTGTCTGTCTGTTGTAATGATGTAATAAATACACTTTCTTGTACTTCTAAAGAGATGCCCATCAGCCTCTTTCAGTCTTTACCATTTGTGATTTTTTTTTAATTCTTCCGTCTCCAAGAAAAAAAAATGTAACTTGAACATTTTCTTGCTCCTTCATTAACTTTTTTTAAATTAAAATTTGAATTGAAACAAAAGCCAAATGTGCATTTCCCACTTGTAGAGTCTAATCTACAAAAAGAACAAGGGCTACAGACAGAGAATCCAAATCTTGTTATTTCTGTGGGTAGAAACTTTCTTTGCTTGTGTTCCTCTTTTCTGGGGTGTTTTCACATTCTTAGGACAAGCAATCAAGAGATTTTATTCTTAATGGATATTCAGGGAGGGGGAAGATTAAAGAAGGAATAGAAAACAATAGCTTTGCTTTCAGGTGGGGCATATATTCCTAATACCATGGTCTTGGTTTCATTCAAATTAATTTCAACTGCTACATATCTGCCATGGTCATCCGTCTATATCCATTTTGATTGTAATTGTGGGTTTGTATACAAAACAACTCCATTTTCTTGATTGTCCTCACCAAAATAAATTCTTGATGCAAATTTTTATGAATCAAATATTATGTCTAACTTCTTAAGTACCTTAAGAAAGGACCCTTTTCAAGATCACCAAAAAAAGCCACGCACAGGGACTAGCAGGAATTTTAATCTGAGTTTCAGCATGTATAGATACCATTCATTTTGCTCCTTTTTCCTAGATGTGACTGAGAAACAATCACTGAGTCAACGTATGTAATCAGGCTGGGAGTTTGCTGGGAAATGAAGAGTGGTCAGAAAAGGCTCACTGCATCTACAGCACTGCCATACTTTTTGTGCATAGGTCAAGGGTGGACAGTCCCTGGAGGTTCATAGCCACAACTTGGCCTCCTAATTTTCTGGAGGGCTGCAGGTGGTATCACTATGAAGTTACGGTATGAGGTGGGGCTAAATTGTTTCAGTCCATTTGGAGGAATGGGAGAGTTTAGGGAGAAAATAAGAGGAGACGGTCTCTGGGAGGCAACCCCTCTTCACTCTTAATTCACACATGCCCGAACAGCTTAGTTTTAGCAGCCAAGACATGGGAAACCATAAGCAGGATGAAGTTTTTCCTAACTCTTGCAGAAAAGATCAAAAACAGACTGAGAAAATGTTCTGTTTGCATGCCCTTTCCAGGTTAAACCCAGACACAGTCTAACCCTAGACTTGGCCCAACCTGCTCTGAGTAAGTGTAGAGTGGTTGCATTCTATAAACAATGTATGTAATGTATGTGGGGATGCCAATGAAGGGAAATGAGAATAGAAGGGTGCATTAAAACATCATATGCTTTGCTTCCAGTATCCCATGGAGATAACAAAAGGGCCGTTTCAAACATAATTAACCACATGGTTGTTGAAGGACGTGCTTTTAAATAAGATTGCCACTAATGGATGTTGTATCATAGAAAGAAGCTTCCAAATGGGCCACATGGACATCACCTTCTCCTGTTTGTCATTACAGCTGGATCTGGTATGAAACTTCTCTGTCCAAGAGATCTGCACAATAATGTTCATTTCAAATCACTCTACTGGGAAATATTTCCTGTAAGCTCCATAGCACTACTATCAAGTTGAAATCTCAAACATGCAGAGTGCGGTAGGCTGTATTGCTAATTCCTAGGGCACAGCATTGATTGCGCAATCTACCGGATGTTATCTCCTTCAAGTCTCAGGAACAGGAGTTTCAGCATGCTTTGGGGCAGTTCCCATTAATTTTAATGGGCCTCCCCAAGAAAATTTCCAATGGATTGTAGCCAATAACCATGGCAAGAGTCTTTGGCCTAACATCAAAAGTTACTTCTTTTCCAAGTGTGAGTATAATTCTGTAATACTCTATAGCAAGACTTACTGAGATGAATGGAATAAGGATGCAGGAATGCAACAACTGAACTATTTCCCATTTAGAACCAATTTATCCTTGTGTATATTGGAGAATTTTTTCCTAACAACTTGTGATCTGGGGGAGGAGGCAAGTGTTTTCACTGATAATGGAGAAGCTTGAGTTAGCTATTTATATAATGGTATCCAGAACCTTTATCTGTCTGGAAATCTTACAGGCTAATTAGAATGGGCATGATCCAGTAAAAAATCATTTAACATGCAATGCATTCTGATTTAGGACACCAGTCTCTCTATATGCTGTGAATATAAATCGTTAAGATATCATTAAACCTTATTGATATCTGCAGAATATTTTGCAACTTGCTGGAACAGTGGATTGTATTGTGTTGAACTGCTTTTATATCATGCACAATTAGTATTAATTTGTTTCCAGGGCAACTAATAGCATAGCTAATAAATAATAGTACAATAAAAAGAAAGGACAATGCATAGAAAGCAACGCAGTAAATTAAAAGCAACAGTTCTCTTGAAAAAGACAGAGTAAAATGAATTAAAATAAATAAAATCCACTTGTAAATGAAGAGGAGAAAAATGCCAACATAGCTGTTCTTATGAAATTGGAAAGCCAAAGCAGTTCTGCCTTGAAATAAAACTACAGTAAAACTACTGTGTGGTCAAAAGGTAGAACCTAAATGCTAATACAAAAGTTCAAAGTGGGGGGGAAAGTTTTAAAATTGGGAGATGAAACGTTTGTTAGTTTTGAGAGTTTTTCAGTGCAACTTGGCTTAATGTAAACACACAAGTGTGCAAATACTTACAATCCAGTTGCCATAAACTCATCAGCCAATGAGTGGGGTCACACTAAGCTTCCTTCTGAAGGGGTAGAACAGGGTTCTCAACCTCAGCAACTTTAAGATCGCTGGGGAATTCTGGGAGTTGAAGTCCACCCACCTTAAAGTTAATACGGTTGAGAAACCTGGGCTAGAATAAGGGGCAGCTGGAGTCAAACAATTAGTTCAGAGGTAGAACCCCTCTAACAAATGGGCAGGGCCATGTAAACTTTCTCTTGGCTTTTTATGTTCTTCTGGGGGATGGCAGGCCATAGTGCCTCCTAATAAACTCTCTTTGCTATCTCCAACATTTAGGAATATATAAATACATTTGATTTATAATAAGTTGTTACAATTGCAAGGCCTTCTTAGGCTGCCAGGATATGCCTGATAGATGTACCCGTTCTTGCAAAATGTGATGGCATTGTAGGTGGGTCTCCCAGAACAAGAATCCAGGGATTACCTTGTTAAAGAACTTATCTTTCCCAGCCTGAACTTGATTTCAACAAAAATGACACAGACGTGTGATCTGCAGGAGGCTAGCTTAAATGTAGGAATGCTTATGACATCAACTCTGCAGCTACTGATGTCACAGAACCTCTGGGTCCTGGAGATCATTGCAAGCCATAGAGAGCAAAAGAGGGCATGAAGATGGGGTAGCTGGTGAGCAGAAGTAGAATGGAAATTGGCAAAACCAGGTGGCGGGAATTAGGTCTTACACCACGGCAGCTCTCCAAGAAGATTGGGGTCACCTATTCAATGGCTGAGTTTATCACCCAGAGCTACCGTAAGCCGGTTCAACGACAAGGCCCAGCTTGCCCCCATTCACCTCCATGTGTGTTGAAGTGCCCTAAGAAGAACCAGTGTACATGCAACAAAAGTGGATGTGAAGGAGCGCCTGGTTTTGCAACCCCATCAACCTCTTGTGGCAGAAAGAGACCAAGATGTAAGGAGAAGCGAAGTGATGATGAATGTGCTTGGACCGAAAGAAAGGAAGTGTATAAATGCAGCAATTCCTCCTGCCTCTTTCCAGGTAGTAACGCATGCAACAAAAACTCTCACAGTAAAACTTCAACATGTAGCAGCATCTGTAGGCCAAAGTGTGACAAGCCCATTGCCATCCAAAACACAAAATGTTCAAGAGGACGGAAAAAACGGAAGTGTAAGGAAAAAGAGAAAGCAAAGACTAGGCACAAAAAGACATTTAAATGCTGCTGTGCAACACAACCTTGCCCAAAGAAAAGAATGTTTCCTTTAGGTATCCATCTAGATGTGCCTTTAAACATATTTCTGGATGACGAGGATGGGATAGAAATAGAAGGGAAGGAGGTTCAGGTGTGCAAAAAATGGAAAAACAAGAGTATGGCTGTTCAAGTGCCATCCCAACATGAAGTAGGCAGATATGGTCCCGAAGGTGATCAATGCCAAAGACCAGAACATCCACCAGATCAATGGGGAGAAGAAACTGGAGATCAAGAAGAAATTGCAATGGAAGAATGTAACCCTTGTGAGGATGACAGTTCAGAAGAAAAGGAGGATTGCTGTGAGAAGATGCCAGCCAAAGACACCTGCCAGATTTCATGGTGGGAAAAAGTCCAAGAAGGCATGGTTTTTTTTGAGTCTCTTCTGTCCTCTATCATAAATAAGTGTTAGCTGCCTTAGAACATTGTCCTGGGATGTTACCTCTCCTTTCACAGATAGTTTTATTTTGCATAAAGGGGGGTGGGGGAGACAGGAGCTCCAAATTTGGAATCAATGGTTTGTATGCAAGCTTAAGGATTGCTGCCAAATGCTTTTTAGTGGTAGAGCTGATGCTTTGAATGCAAAAGGCCTCCAATTCCATCTACGACATCCACAGGTGAACATAGCATTGGGAGAGGAAGTCCTCTGAGAAAGGAGAAAGCTGATACTAGTTCCATAAACCGTGCCAGTGGGAAGCATGGAGAGACTTCAGTTTCAATATCCCACAGCTTTATATGGAACTGTGATGTTCTCCCGTTACATTTTCAGCTGGAATGCTAAATTTTCAAAAGCAGTCCCACTTAAAGTACATCAGGGCTTAATAACTTTGCAACTGAAAAATGAAACCCACAAACAGATGTTGTCGTTCACCCATTTGGCTTTTCTCCTCTTGAAACTTTTACCTTGGGGATCCCAGGCTGTATTATCCGGAATAACAAGAGAACCCTACAAATACTATTCAGTTCGTTAAGACTTTCAGAAGGTCCTTAACTTTGTTTAAATTAATTAATTACCCGCAAACAGCACAAGGTTCCTTAATGATGCACATGACCTGTGTTATCATTCA